TCCTCCTCCATTTTCTACCTTATTTTCCTAAAAGCACAGAATTTCATTCCCACAAATTTCTAATTATCAAAGACTACATGGAGTGCTATTGAAAATTAGGATTGGTTTAATGACTTTTGCAACTCTTATAAAGTTTTTTGACTTTTCCATTAAGAAAGCTCCAGTCTCCACATATCACCAGCTTCTTTGAATCCAGTAGAACCTTGTGATATATGATCATGATATGATCTCTGCAACAGAATTTTGGGCAAGTGCTGATGAAAAAGAATTTCATTTGTTCTTCATGGGAGTCAATATCAGTTTGTTTTTAGTATTTCTGGAAATGGAGTCTGCATGTCCTTATATCCAGGAAAAAGAAATTTAGAAAGCAATAGCCATGAAAATTACAGAAACAAATGGGAAGGTGTGGCTCCTCTGTCTTTTTCAATTGAAAATGAGCTTTAAACATTCAGGTAGGATATTATGATGAAGTCTGTTACTATTCAGGTGAGCTTCCCCAAGTGCTACTGGTATGTAAAAACAATACCTTGAGCATGTAGGCTCCTTGTTTGTCTTACTGTTTTGGCATAGAAATAGTTCGTTCTATCGATATTTTTAGAGGAGGAAATTTTCATCCCCATGCCTTCCTTTGGGTTAAGTCAGAAAACCAGAGTCCCTTCCTTTAGCCAAATATTTCTGTGGCCCTGAAGGCATGAGTTTCCTCATGCCTAATAATCAGTGAAGTGGAAGGTATACAGAGGAGTCATCAAGTCCACCGCCCTGTCTCAAGGCAGGACTGTGTCAACTCTATCTTAGAATTCTGAGTAACTTTATATTTCTAGAGATATTCTGTAACATGGCAAAAACTTTCTGAAGTCATTTATTCTGGGATTTAATAATCACTGTGTCCTAAAGTTCTTACTTTAATCAACCTCAATTCTTCTCTGCTATGATTTAATCCTGTTTACTCTTGTTTTATCTTAAATAGGAAAAAAATAAGGATTGGTTACATTCTGATTCAATATGGCAAAGATAACATGAGAAATATTCCTGTTTTTTTTTTCCAAGAAGAGAAATGAAATGTGAAAAACACAAAAACAAATTAATTAAAATTCAAAACTGGAAAAATCATAGAAACAAAAGGAGATATTTTGTGCAATGAAACACAGGAGGAAAGCACAGTAATAAATTGGGTGCTGAAGACATATCATCAGCTGGGCTATCATGGATAGCTAGGTCTAGGCAGCTAAATCAGAATTGCAACCTGCAAGTGGCTTTGTGGTTCAAGCTGGGGCCTAGGATCACACTTCTCACATGTGAAGAGATGCTGCCTACCCAAGGTTGTTGCCTAAAATACATTGAGTTTCTAACGTAGGTAGTTGTAACTGAGGGCCCAAGGATCATTATCAAAGACCAGCACTGCATAAGAAAGCAGAAGTAGATGATCTAGACAAAAGGAGCCCAAGCTGAGACGCCAATATATGACCTAAGTTAGAGCTAAGTGAACCATAAGCTCTGAAACAACCATGCACAAAGAAGGAAGAGTTCCTGCCAGAGAAAACACTAATAGATAATGAACTTTCAAATCAAAGGTAGAAAACTGTGCAAGGTATAGAACTAAGAAAATCTCAACAGATCCAACACAACGAGCGTCCCTTTGGCACAGTGGTTATGATGCCAGTTGGGATATATGTGTTCCATATTCCAGCACCTTGCTTTGAATTCTGGTTCTGCTCTTGTCTGCAGCTTCCTGCTAATGCATATGCCTTTGGAAACAACAAGTGATGGCTCACGTGACTGGGTCCCTACCTCTATGTGGGAGACCTATATGCAGTTTTTGGCTCCTTGTTTTAATTTGGCCCATTTCTGGCTGATGTGAATAATTGGGAGTGAATCAACAGATAGGAAAACTCTGTCTTCCTGTCTCCTTTTTTAGTTTTCCAGTAAATAAAATATGCAAATAATAGCTTTAAAGGGAAAATCACCAAAGATGGTAATGAAGACTTGAAAAATAAGGATATTTAAACAACCTAAAATGGAATTAATGAATTTTTAACACTTAAAGAAATACAAAAGAGAGTAAGATCCCAAGAAATAATGGGATTATAGCAACATGCAAGTATTTTTAAAATAACAGGACACTTGAAAGAAAATATAATTACTGAAAACAAAACAAACAAACAAAACTCAACAGATGACCTAAATAATATGTACAGAAAGAATTAATGGTGGGTTGGCACGTAGCATAGCAGATTGAACTGCCACCTATGAAGCCTGTATCTTATATAGGCACTGTAGTCCCAGCAGTTCCACTTTCAATCCAGCTCTCTGCTAATGCACGTGGGAAAGAAGAGGAGGATGGATTAAGTGCATGGGCTCCTGTCACCCAAAAGGGAGATACAGATAGAGCTCCTGGCTCCTGGCTTTGACCTTGGCCCAACCCTGATATTTGCAGCAATCCAACAGTTCCATAGTGAAACAGCAGATAGAAGATCAATCATTTCTCTCTCTGTCTCACTCTCTTGCTCTGTGTGTGTGTGTGTTTCTTCTTCACTTTCTGTAATTCTCTTTCAAATAAATAAATAAATTCAAAACATAATTAGTGAATTGGAAGACAGAGCTGAAATTATACATATCATTATGGGTAGCATACCAAGATGTGAAATAGACATTAAAAGACATAGATGATGAATTAAATCAAAAAGATAAAGGGAAGAAATATTTTCTCAAAATATGGAGGAGAAAATTAGAGTAATTTAAGCCAAAAATCATGTGCTGAATTGACAGAAGAAAAATGAATCATAAATCCACATATCTCACTGAATGCATCAATGAAAAATATAAAAACTTGAAGCATAATCAGACAACAGATTTCTTGCCTACAAGCAAAAGATCCAACAAACCATTTAGTAAGTTCTGCTAAATGTTGGGGGGAAATAAGCACACCCCAGTAATTTTTAGAACCAGTCAAATTATCATTCAAGAATTAGGGAAGGAGCAAGCATTGTGGCACAGTACTATAAACTGTTGCTGGGGACATATCAACTCTTGGTTATTCTGTCATTTTAACCCAGTTTCCTGATTGTGTGCATCCTGGGAAGCAGTGAGTGATGGCTCATGTTCCCCTTTTCTCATTCTTCCTGTTACACAGCTGGGGCAGTTGACAGACATATTCTACTCTGTTCTTCAGCCCCAGATTCTGAGTGGAAGTCATTCCCCAATCTTCTTCCCAGGGAACAACAATCTTTCATGTAGTAATTTACATGAGTTCCTATGTCATCAGACCAGTTTTAGAGCCTTTGGGGAAAAACTGAATTCATAAAGCTATGTGATAGTGTTCTTGGCAATTTTTAAAGCTCTCTCCAATTTCTAAGAAGCACTACTCCTATTTATCACAGCTTCTCCTACACCAGGCTATTATATTCCAGTTGAAATAAAAGGATCAAATAAGTACACACAAAACCAATGAGTATCAGGGATTTATTTCCAAAATTAACTTTTGGGTTGTTCAAATGTCCAGGCAATCTCTCATCTATTGAATTCATTACTGTAATCACCAACATAGCATGGTATAGTATGAATTTTTGTTATCTGGTAAAAAAAAATCCCCTGTGTACATTTGTGTATATTTGTGAATATGTAGGAAAGCAGATTTTAGAAAAATGATGAAAAGGGGATTTTGATACTTCTTCTCCATTACACAAACCTTAAACTCTTGTGACATTTTGGTGAACTGAATTTTCACTGATCTCCATTCTCAGCCTCATTTCTTTATTTTTTTTTTCCTGATGTGCCTTATTTCTCTCTTTATAAGTCTGGATGTTCTTCCCTACAAGCAGCCTCATCTATGCCCCAGTGTAGTGGCTCCTTATGTCTGGGGAATTTTCCCCTTAGGAATATCAGTAAAGACACAGATATTTACTTACAGGAGAGAAGTTTACAAAGTTTGTGCAAAATGGAATTAAAAGATAAATTTATTTTGATGGAAAATTTTTTGAAATGCATATGCATTTCTTCTAAAACATGCATTTTCTATGAGCATTGTTAAGATTCTTCATGTATACAACACCAAAAAAAAAAAACCTACAAGCAAGCAATGTTACAGGGTTGTCTGATCTCCTAAAATCCATCTAGAAACCTCAGCTAAAGAACCTCTGTCTTAGGGGAAAACAATCAATTTAAAGAGTGAAAGAACTTCTAATGTACAGATTCTTGGACTGTAATGTTGCTTTTCCTGGGACTACTGATGGACCCACACACGTTCTCTGAATCTTCACACTTACATGCCTTTGTTGTGGGAATCAAGTCTCAGTAAGACATGAGCAAAGTATTACTAGGGGAGTCCTTATCTCAACAAACACCAAAGCTGTAAATCAGGAAAGTAGAAGTCCTAATAGCCTGTGAAAAAGTCTCTGATGTTTTCTCCTAGAAGCTGCTCTTAACAGTGTGCATGTAATAACTGTGCAGTCTGGGGCAGTTGGTTTTGCAGTACGCATGCAGCTTTGAACAGTCATAAACGTCACTGGTTCAGCAGCTTTGATTTATGAATAGCCCTTTCCATCATTTAGAAGCTATGCTCAGATGCAATTCCAGTACTGATTGCACAGGACACATGCCGCTATGAGCAACTCCTTCCTTATGGGCCACTTGTGACAGGAAGAGTCTGCTTATGGCAGAAAATCTCTTGGGACACAATTCCTTTCCCTCAGTTGACATCAACCTTTAAGTGATGAAAATCACAATGAAAATCTGTTATTGTGTTACCAGTAGCTTATTAGAATGTGGCTTGCTTAGGCTATCAACAGCATTTAGGGGGCCAGTCTGGGCTGCCTAAAAGTGTCTTACATTTATTACTTTCAAGAAGCTTTTCAGTTTTCCTTCTGGAGAGTTAAACAGATGGACTGGATTGCGTTAGGTGAAAGACGAGCTGAAAACAAGCTGAGAGAGATTAAGAGACTGAAAGAGAGAGAGAGAGAGAGAGAGAGAGAGAGAGAGAATATTAAAGAGAAAAATTTGTTTACCTGGGCAACGAGGGCAGCACAGATGAGGAATATGTACAGGAGTGAGGCAATGGAGGTTTGGACATCTTACTCGGCTGCAAAGCACATTCCCATTCTGAAAGAGAATAGACAGCAAGATAAAGTAAATGGATCTCAAAGGTCACTGGGATCATGCCAATTTGGGAAACAATCATGCAGGGACTCACCCCAACAATGAATAAACCTATTTCCAAGAAGCTGAATGCAATCAGCATTTTCTTTCCTTTTCTCATCACTAGCACCTCTGCGGGGCTGGTTGATAGCTTACTGGCACATTTTTCTAAGGCTGGGAGCACGTCTGTTCAAGGTTTCAAAGCCTGCCATTAATTGTGGGAGGCTTCCTTTGGCTTGGCTCTGTGGCATTTCTTGCCTTTTGCAGCTCCAGCTACAAGTCTTCCACGAGCTTACTCCAATTTCATAATCACCTGCTCAATGCCATGGAAGGGAAAGGACAATGAGCAATGCTCCCTCTCCCTCCCTGCAAGCTACTGTCCGAAATCCTGTGCAGGAGCCATCCTAGCACATAGATCCTGGATTCCACATAATTCTATCTTGGTCCAGTAGGCTAGTGACTCCTCTCCTCATTTCCCTTTTTAGCCAAAATTCTTCTGAGAAATAATTGAGCTGATTATCTAGTACGCCTGGGTGAGACAACTGGGTCCCTGCCTGATTTACAATTACAAGATCCCTAGCTCTGACAGCTCAGAACCATTGCTAGAACAAAGGAAGACTTTAGAAATCAATTTTCATTTACATTTTTCATCCATAATTCATTGGAAGCAAGGATTTCTTGTATGTGCCAGGCTGTTGTGAGAGAAGAAAGTGGTGAAAAGGATGGAAAGATGGCCAGTGCTTGAGTTGCTGGCATTGGGATCATATTAACATTTTCACTGCCCTGTAGACATCAAAGCCTTAGCCCCAAAGGGTTAGTTGTCCATCCCTGATGTGTTAGGCCAAGAATCCGACAAAATCATGCCATACCAGGCAGTTAATCAGTCCCCAGATGCTCTATTTAACACATGCCCTAGCCATTTAAAGGGACAGGTTTCTTTTTCTCGAAATTAGGATCACTTTACAAAGCCCCCTTTTGTTTATGTTTTTTAGAATAAATTCTCACAGTATTGCATTTGATAAAGCCACAGAAGCTCCTCATACAATACACTCTGCACAGCAGGTAGTGGCATCTTGAAGTGAGATCACTAAAGCACAGCAGAACCTATGCTTCCTGGCTGAGGTATCAGCTAAACTAAATTGCTGTTTAAAGTTATTGCCCCTCCATATCTGCAAATCAGACCTCTGAAATTCAACAAACTATGGAGCAAAATCATATTTGAAGGGAATACTATCTGTACTGAATATAGAAAAACTATTTTTCTTATTATTCCCTAAATACAGCATAACAGCACTTTATGTAGCATTTACACTGTGTTAGGCACTGAGGTTACAGAGAGACAAGTTAAAGTACACAGAAGGCTGTGCACAGGGTATTTGCAAATACTGTGCCATTTTCTGTAAAGAACTTGAGCATCTACAGAATTTGGTATCTGATGGGGGCTTGGTAAATAGGTTCCCATAGACATCAGGGATGACTGTACTGAATACTATGCTAGATATTATATATACATATATATTTAAATTTTTTTGCAAAGTCAGATACACAGATAGGAGGAAAGACAAAGAGGAAGATCTCCCATCTGATGGTTCATTCCCAAAGCAGCCCCAACAGGTGGAGCTGAGCCAATCCGAAGCCAGGAGCCAGGAGCTTCCTCTGGGTCTCCCACACAGGTGCAGGGTTCCAAAGCTTTGGACTGTCTTCAACTGCTTTCCCAGGCCACAAGTAGGGAGCTGGATGGGAAGTGCAGCTGTCAGGATTAGAACCGGTGCCCATATGGGATCCTGGCAAGCTCAAGACGAGGATTTTAACCACTATGCTATCGTGCCAGGCCTTAGATATGATTTGTTAATGATCATGGCAACCATCATATCAATGATGATGACATTGATGATAATAATAACAATAGCTTATACTTCTTGGATGTTTATCATTAACAATCATTGTTTTAAGTGATATAAATAGTTAAGTGAATTTAAGCCTTATGATAGCCTTATGAAATAAGTAAAAGAATCACAGCATTTCTATTTATATTTTTTAAAGATTTATTCATTTCTTTGCAAGGCAGAATTGGAGAGAGAGAGGATCTTCCACCCACTCGTTCATTCCCCAAATAGCAGCAATAGCCAACATTGAGCTTGTCTGAAGTCATGTGCTTCATCCTGGTCTCCCACCTGGACACAGGCACCCAAGTACTTGGGCCATCTTGCTAGGTGCATTAGCAGGGAGCCAGACAGGAAGTGCTGCTTGGACTTGAACCAGTGCCAATATGGGATGCCAGCACTCCAGGCAGCAGCTTTACCCACTTACTATGCTATAGCATTGGGCCCATCCCATTTTTAAAAGCAGATACTGAAGGAATTTCAGAGAGGTGAGATAACTTGTCCAGTGTAACATGGCTTAAAGTGGTAAACTCAAGGCTGCAAACTTGGTCTGTCTTAATTCTATATCCTCATGGCTTCTCAACACCTTTTAATATTACCCAAAGGTTATATTTTCATGGGCACAAGATTGTTTTCCAAATACAAAAGGATCTGGCAGGCAAGTAACTTCCTTTTCTAGCTGTACATGAGGGAATAATGACAGTTCTTGCCTAAGATTTCAAGTAACAGACTGTTATTGAACATTCTGTTTGTTCAAAATTCTTGGTTCTCCGGGCTGAGAAGGTTCTCTTTTGTAACTGACCTAGCGTCATGCTTCTCTATCACAGTCAATTTTGATCTCCAGGCAACTTGGCCACCCATGGAGATATATTTTGGTTACCACTGGGATTGTTGCTACTCTTGTTTAGTGGGAGAAGGCCAGGGATGCTACTAAAAACCCTATAACATACAGGAGAGCCCTCTTCTACGAGAAATTAAACAACCCCAAATGTCAATAGTATTGATGCTGAAAAATCTTAACCATGAAATTCATGCAGCATGGCTGTGGTCCTCAGTTAAGTCATAGAAAGAAGATGGAATTACCTGCTTTATTTACTGCAGAGATGGCATATAAGTTGCCCCAAAGCCTCTGTTTACATGATTGAACAGGAACCAAAGTCCAAGCAAGAGAACTCTAATTCACGCCATGTACAGGCCAATGGCTCACAACCTCAGTTTTAATTATGGCTATTGACTGAGACATCATAAAATGTACTTGCCCAAAAAAGCAGTTTATAACCTTCCCTAATACTCTCCCTGAAGGACAGTCTAGAAAACAGCTCTCAAAAATCATTTTTCTTACATTCCAGACACTAAATTAAGCTTTGTTCCCTGCTCCTATTATCAAGTTCTTCTGCTTCTGTCAACCCTGTTCTATATCATTAGCCATAGAAACATAAATGTTTGTCTAGAAAAAAAAATTTCAGGTATCTCATAAAGATCAAGCCAAAATGAAACAGGGGGCCTAGCACGGTGACTCAACTGCCTAATCCTCCCCCTGCAAGTGTCAGGATCCGATACTGACACTGGTTCATGTCTCAGAATCTCCACTTCCCATCCAGCAACCTGCTTGTGGCCTGGGAAAGCAGCAGAGGATGGCCCAAATCCTGGGGACTCTGCACTCTCATAGCAGACCCAGGCGAAACTCCTGCCTCCTGACTTCAGATTGGCTGAGCTCCAGCCATTGGATACTTGGAGAATAAATCAGTTGACAGAAGACTATTGTCTCTGTGTGTGACTCTTTCTCTTTAAATCTGAATTTCCAATAAAAATAAATTAATCTTTAAAAAAGAAATAAGGAAAAAAAAAGCAGGAGATGCTTCTTTTTCCTTGCAATTTATGTTTTCATTTCTTTCAGGTTTTTAATCACCCACACTTCCTGACCATTAGGCCACTGAAAGTTTCTACATGCTGAGGAGCAAACTGGGAAAACACATTCTATAAGAGATTGTACCTCTGAGCAGATGCAATTGACGCAGTAAACCAACCCGTAAGGTTCCAGGTAAGGATGCCATCTCTCACCCACTCTGTACTTCTTGTCTTGAAACACACAATATGTCTCTGAATCTGTGGGGACGGAGTTGGAGAATACATCTATTAGAAAACATGGACTGCATTGCAAAATCCAAAGACCGTCAGAGATTCTACTGATGTTAGTATACATCAAGAAAAGAGGTTTGGTGTTATTCAGATCTCCTACTTTGGTATGTGTTACATTCTTTGCTCACTGTATCCTAATAATGATCCATAAGATAGCTACTACTAATCTTATTTTATAAATTAGGAAAATCAACGGTCATATAATTAGTGAGTAGCTGAAGTGATACTCAATCCAGGTTTGATTGACAATAAATCCCAGAATTGTCATTGCTACTCTGTCATAACGGCAAGGTAAGAGAGCATATTGTGTATTATTTTTAGAAAAGGTTATGTTCACATGATTTGAAAACAGAAGCTAATGAATGAAATGTGGATGTGTCAGAACATTCTTAGAGATGCTTGGTGTTAGTTTAGGAGCAATGGATTGCATGCATTGTGTTAGGTCTCTAAAATGGCCTTGCCTGCACTTGCTAATATTTGAGCACTGCATGCATATTTAAGCATTCTCTATTTGTCAGGTACCATGATAAGTGCTGGGGGCAAAATTCTGAGCAAAAATATTTAAAAACAGCCCATGCACCCATTAACTTAGACTTCCTCTTGCGTGAATAACACCAAATTAACTAAAATCACTCACTCCCTTTTGCTGGAACAGAAATTTGTTAACTGCAACTTATTTTATACTGAAACACATGCCATGTTAATTGTCTTATTGTATGTGTCCCTTAGTTCTCCTTAATGTAGAAAACATTTATTTTTTACTCTTTCTCCCTTCCTTTTCCCCTTTCTTCATCCCTCCCTCTCTCTTTCCTTCCATCACATGGTATATTAATTTTATCCACTCGAGTATATGTTTCCTTGATGATATAATCAATATCAAAAGAATAAAGAAATAATAAACAATAAACTATGAGAATATAACAATAAATACAGTACTAGTGTTAGAACATTTTTAAAGCACTCAAATCAGTAAGTAAAGGATCAATCAATCCATTAGAAAAAGGAGCTAAGGACAAAAGGAGATAATTCAGAGAAAAACAAATGGAAATAGGGAACAGATGAGGGGGGAAAAAGTTCATTCTCACACATTCCAAACAAAATTATGCTAAAGTAAATATCTGTTGTCATATTGCTTAAAAGTTTCTGTATGAATATTTCCTATTACCAACAAAATATAGTTTACATTTCAAATCATTATTTACAACTTTTTCAGAATAATAAGTTTGGAGACAAAAAAAATCTGAGTTTGAGTCCTAACTAGCTGTAGCTGTGTAACACTGAACAAGTCATTTAAGCTTTGTCAACCTCACTTTTCAACATCTGTGACATATAGATTAGGTTTCTGAAACAGATGGTAGAGGATTAAATAAAGCTCTTTGTAAGTTTTAAAGTGCTATAAAATGCAGGGTGCTATTTTATATTAGTTAATTTGCTCTAATTAAAAGGTAATGCATAACAACCTAGAAAATTTGAAAATGTACACAAAATAAAAATTACAAATAAAATGTAAGAATATAATAGGGAAAAGTATCAGATATGAACCCAAAATAAGGATCTGATTTCATGTAAATAGACGAAGGGATGAAGAAAAAAATAAAAAATATATTTAGGGGTGGGTTTTGGGCTCAGATGTTAAGACACTGCTTGGGATGCCTGTATTCCATATCAAAGTGTATGGGTTCAAGTCTTAATACACCTCTAGTTGCAGTTTACTGAAAATGTACACCCTAGAAGGCAAGTGGCAGTGGCTCAAATTCTTGATTTCCCATCACCAACTGGGAGATCTACAGCAGGTTCCAAGATCCTGGATCTGGCCCAATCCCTGATGTTCTGAGCATTTGAGAACTATATCACTAGATTGGAAGATCTCTCCCTATCTGTCTCTATCTCTCTCTTTCTGCATCTCGAACAAAATGTTAAATAAGTACAATTTTAAAAATAAAAGTTACAAAGCAATTGTTACTAAATTAAAGTGAAAACATTAAACATGATATTTAGCTGAAGAAATATACTTAGAGGGAAATTTATATTGCTAAATATCTATATTTTAAAAGGACAAAGGTCTCTAATCAATACTTTAGGAAATGAGCAAAGTATATTAGAAAAAAACAGAAGGGAGGAATAATGAACAGCAGAAATCAATAAAATTGAAGACAGAAAATCAATTAGAAAAAAATCAATAAAATAAAACTTGGCTCTTTAGAAAGGTCAATAAAATTAATAACCCCTCAACAAGACTAACAAAGACAAATAGAAAATGCAAAGTTGCCAATATTTGAGACAAAGAGTGGACTTCATTATAGTGTCTATCAACATCAAAGGGTAAAAAGGTTGCTGTCAGTAACTTTATGCCAGTTATTTCAGCAAGTTAGATGGAATGGATTCATTGAAAGACCCACACCACCAAAAGCTCCTCAAGAAGAGAGGAATAATCTGAATAAGTTTATATGTTGAAAGAATTTGAATTTTTGTTGAAAACTTCTGCACAAAGAAAACTCCAGGTCTAGATTTTTCCACTAATGAATTTCATCAAACATTCTATCATGCCCTTCCAACTAAACAGGACAAATGCTTCCTAATGTTTAAATTTTTGGTGCAAGCAATGCACTCATACCTAACCCAGATATACTACAAGACACTGCAAATAAATATTCATCATGAAAATTTTCTCAACAAAATAAGTCCAATGAGGTAGAAAAATAACCTCAAATTTATAAACAAGTGAGCATTATCTTGGAAATTCTACATTCATTACTCAGACAAGGTAATTCATCATATCAGCAAACTGGACAATAAAAACTGCACTTACTGCAATAGATGTGGCAAGTTTCTACACATATTTGTGCAACAGAGAATGGCTTTAGTCTTTGGGTCACTGTACTCATGTGGGAGATCAAAGGAATCTCCTGGTTGACCAGCCCAGTTCTGGCTGTAGTGGCCATTTAAGGAGTGAACCGGAGGATGGAAGATCTCTGTGTCTCCTCTCTCTCTCTCTCTCTCTCTCTCTCTCTCTCTCTCTCTGTAATTCTTTCAAATAAAATAAATAGACCTTTTAAATAAACAGACTTTAATTTTGAGAACACTGTTAGGTTTACAAAGAAAACTAATCAGGAAATACAGAAACTACCTGTATATACTTTTCCCACCCCTCTTCCACTTTTCCCTATAAATATTTTGCATTAGTGTAGTAGCTTTACTATGAGTGAAGAACCAATACTTGTAAATACTGAAGTACATGGTTTACATTGGAGTTCATTATACATATTATGTAGTTCCATGCCTTTTGCTGAATGTATGATGACATATAGATCCACTGTTACAGTAGCACAGAGAATAATTTCACAACCCTAAATATTCTCTATGTTCTGCCTATTCATTCTTTCCCTCCTCCACTACAACTTCAACTCTTGAAACCAATGATCTTTTCTAACATCCATGGAAAGTTGTCTTTCAGGATGTCATATACTTGATATCATGGAGCATGCAGTCATTTAAGTCAGCTTCTACCACCCAAAAATATGGATTTAAAGTTCCTCCAAACCTTTCCATGATTTCACAGTTCTTTTTCATTATTAGGTAACACTCCATTTCTCTGTTGAAGTACACTGTGGTTGCTTCTTATTTTGGGAAATTGTGAACCAAATGGCTACAAACACTTCTGTACAAGTTTTGGTGTAGACATGAGTTTCCAACTCACTTGAATAATGACTAGTGGTATGGTTCCTGGATTGTATAATAAAACCAGGTGTAGCTTTGTAAAAATACAAGTCTTTCACAGTGACTTTATCATCTTGTTTTCCTTCAGTAATGAGAAGTTCTCATAGCTCCTCATACTCACCATCATTTGGAATTATTGTTTTAGATGTTGGCAATTCTAATAACTACTCAGTGATATCTAATTATTGTCTTAATATTATTCCTTAATGGCATATACTGTTGAGCATCTGTTTACATTACATAATATCTTTGTATTTCTCCCATTTTCTGAACTGTTCGCTTTTCTATTATTGATATTCAGGAGTTCTTTGTATATTTTGAAAACAATTCATGCTTTATCAGATATGTGCACTGTAAATGCATGGTTCTTGTCTCATAGAACACTTTGCTTTGGGCCTGGCTCGATAGTGTAGCTGCAAAAGTCCTCGCCTTGAAAGCATCAGAACCCCACCGGTTCTAATCCTGGCAGCCCTGCTTCCCATCCAGCTTCCTGCTTGTAGCCTGGGAAAGCAGTCAAGGATGGCCTAAAGCCTTGGGACCCAGCACCCGTGTGGGAGACCTGAAAGAAACTCCTGGCTCCTGGCTTTGAATCAGCTCAGCTCTGGCTGTTGCAGCCACTTGAGGAGTGAATCAATGGACGGAAGCTTTTCCTCTCTGTCCTCCTCTCAGTATATCCGCATTTCCAATAAAAATAAATAAATCTTTAAAAAAAGAACTAGAATGGTTTTACTTCACATGAAGTCCAATTAATCAAATTTCTATTATCTATTATGCTGTTGGTACTGTAAAATTTCATTATCAAGTATAAGGATCACCTAGGTTTTGCATTTATATGTAAGTCTTTGATTTTATTTTGATACACATTTTGTTAAAGGGTTAAATACAGTGTTTAGATTTTTTTTTTGCCTTGTAGACATCCATTTGATCTAGAATCATTTGTAAATAAACACACACACAAAAAAAATCCTACGTTTTCTCCAATGTATTCCCTTTGCTCCTTTTTGTCAGAGATTGACTTTATTTGTATTGGTCTATTTCTGGTTTTTTTTTTTCCTTGTGTGTTAGGACTTTATAATCTATCACATAACCACATTGTAAGTTTTGAAGCTTAGTAATGTTAGTATTCTGATCTTGTTCTCTATCATTGTATTGACTATTCTGGGTCATTTGTCTTTTTCTATATATTTTGGAATCTGTAGTTTTCATTTCATTTCTGTCTTCTCTGAATTTAATTTGACATTTTATACTAT